CCCCAAAACCCCAAAACCCCAAAACCCCACACTCTTCAAATTCATAGATTTCATTAGAAGGTAAAAAACTTTATTTAAATATTATAATAATTAATACCAAGTGATTATGAGGATACAAGTCTAATTTATAACAATCGGAGTTGTAGTACTTAGCGCTGTTGCTTCAGAGAACTGCTGGGAAGATGCCTATGGAAGAGGAGTTGGCAGAGCTATTCATGCTTGCAAACCTGGCTACGAACAAAATGGGCTCTTGTGCTATCCACTATGCAAGGATGGATATTATGGAGTTGGACCAGTGTGCTGGTAATATTGCCCTGATGGTTTCAAAGACACAGGAGTAGACTGTTTGAAGCCTCCATCTTATGGTAGAGGTGTTGGCTATACCTCATACAATGCTTGCTTTAAAGATAATCAGCAAACTGACTGTGAAGAGTGGGGTTTACTTTGGTATCCAAAGTGCAAAGAAGGTTTCCATAATGCTGCTTGCTGTGTCTGCTCTCCAAACTGCATCAATGGTCAGATCGATATCGGAGTTTCATGTTAAAAGCTGACTTATGGAAGAGGAGCTGGAGAACCTCTTGGTTGCTCTGCTGATGAGGAAGAGTAGGCTGCTCTTTGCTATACTCCTTGCAAAAATGGATATAATGGAGACGGACCTGTATGCTGGCAATAGTGTCCCTCAGGCATGCACACTTGTGGGGCTCTTTGCACTGTAAATGCTGATGGTTGCACTGATGAGGTGAAAGATGTAGTTTCAAATGTTGTCGGAGTGGCTATTGATGTTGCAATTGCTGCAGTTACTGGTAGTCCAATAAACATTCTTGACATTATCAAGAAGGTTGGACAAACTGCTATTGACCTTGCAAACTCAGTTTGTGATCCCCCCACTGCTGTTGAATATTTTAGATCCGTAAGGGAATGATTAATATAACGAGGGATTAAAATTGAATATCATAAAGCGATATATTTTATGAAAACAATTCTCACTTTCTGATACAATTTTTATTAACGGGGTTTTGGGGTTTTGGGGTTT